TTTCCTACTGTCACAACTTGCAAGGATAAAGGTTGGAGAAATATCTTCGGGTGAAGGCAAAACTTTATATCAAAAAAACAAGGAAGAGCATTTTATACTCTTGCAACTTTTTTTTTCACATATTCGGTGTCTGGGTGCTTGAATAGTTGTTGTCCGATTTTGACAATTTTTGGTCATCAGTTGGCACATTTTTGAGACACTATTCGTCAAAAGTTCTATCCCGATACATTAGTTGCTGCTTGTTTTGTATATTTTAAAGTAAAAGAATCAGATGGAATTTAAAATTGTGTTAAATGGAAAGTAGGCGATTTCGCCCATTTTCGCACTCTATAATAAAAATATCAGGAGGCTGGTTTGAACCAAACTTGATTGTATTTGGTCGGCTAGGTCCCGAGATATGGGTTTTTACCTAAATATGGGCTGTGCCACGCCCATTGTCCAATTTTGGTATTGGCTCCTATAAAGCTTTTTTGTATCATCTCTCGCAAAATTTAGTGGCTCTCACTTCTTATTTTTTGAGCTATTGAATTTTTAGTAGTTTTCTACACAAGAGTGTGGGCGGGGTTATAACCCGATTTCAACCATTTTTACAGTATTGAAGGGGATGCTAAAAATATTTGTTCTGAACAAATTTGGTTGATTTAGCGTTAAGGCGAGGCCCAGCACACCTTGAAAGATTTTCAAAACGCAAGTGCCCCTCAGCACAGCAATTCCCTACGCCAACTTACAAGTTTGTATCTCAACTTGGAGCTTAGTTATAGCAGTTTATAGGCTTTCGATTAATGGCGTGGTGTGGCAATGGTGCGATGTCGCCCATTTTGGGTGCCGAGCGTATGAACCAAATTTAATATATCAATATATCTAAATTCAACCGGATTTCAACTCGTCTCGTCATCCTGATCATTTATATATACATAACTGGATATCTATTTCAATTTGGTTTAACAGATGCAAGCAACCATTAAGAGAACAAAACTATTATATTCTGTAGCAACGTGTTACAAGAGTATAAAAAGGTTGCGAAAGTATTCAATATTTTCGAAGAAACCGAAAGGTCTACAATCATATTTGGTATTTTTTAGCTTATGTAGGTTATAGACCTTAGACTTATTTAGTTTTATTCGTATCCGAAATATGTACATACAGATTTGTTGAAAAGATTCTGCACTCGAAATAAAAAATATTGTTTTGATACGAAATATATTTTTTTATTCAATATAATCTCCCTTAACTTTAATACACTTATTCAAATGATCCTCCAACAATTTTATGCCATCCCTATAATTACTATCCGGAAGCTATGCAAAATACCCGTCTACGGCTGTAATAGCTTCTTCATTCGACGAAAAACGCTTTCCACGAAGGAATTGTTTCACGTTTCTGTAGAGGTAGTAGTCGCTGTAAGCAATTCGTACTTTAATAAGGTTAAAATACCTTTGTGAACAGGTGCATTATCTTAAAGAAATTTTATTTTTTTGTGCTGCAAACCAGGTCTTTTCTCACAAATTTTTTCATCCAGCAGATCCAAAAGGCTGCAATAGTATTCAGAGTTGATTGTTTTACCTTTCTATAGATAATCAATCAACAAAATTTTGCATCCCAAACATCTAACGCCATAACCTTCTTTGCTGATCGTTGTGACTTCAGTTCCTTTGGAGCTGAACAACCAGCTTCAGTCCACTGTATACGTTCATGTTTCCATTTACTCCTTGTCAAACGAAGATACAATAACTAAAATTAATACTCAAATAATATACGCGGGATTTGAGCTTCGGAAAAGGAAGGCGAGTAGATTGGTTGATTTTTTAACGGCCCAGAACAGGGTATATTAAGCAGAGAACTTAAAACAACGCGAAGGTGCAGGTTCGACAGCGAACAATTTATAGGATTTTATCAAGGAGTTCACCTCACATGCACGAGAAACAAATAACATTTCTCGCTTTTATAACAGCGGTGAATCTGTAAACATACGCTCTCTTAACATAACCAAACGGCGAATATTGAAGAGAATATATGTATGCCAACCTGGGAATATTGATATGCTATTTGAAACATATTCCCTTTTATTGAATTATTATTAATTATTATTTTTAAATTATTTTATGTTAATTCATTTTTACTTTCTTGTGAGTTATTAATAATAATTTAAACATATTTTGATATATTTCTTAAAAGAATTCAAGTGCTTGACACCATTATGGAGTCATAAAAGTACAGAATTGTGTTTTGCCGCCGGCATTTTCATATCATGTGTAAAAATATTTGTAAATTTGTCTACAAACAACATATGTATGTAGATATGAACACTCATTACTTCATGTGAAATCTCCGTTGACACGGTCAACCAATGATCGAAGCTCACGTTCTTTGCTTTTATGTCAAAGAGTCAATCTGTCGAAGGACTGACGCGGCGACAAAGCGTCACAACATTGTGTTGTTGGTAGAAAATCCGAGATGTGCCGAAAAATAACCGAACGCTCGCCGATTGTCATCGCTTCCCTTGCCGCTCTAGCAGCTTTGCCCACAAGTCATTGTAGGCATGTATGTTTTTATATGAACATGCATACATATTGACGACGATTTTTGCGAGCCACGGAAAAATATTTTAGAATTGTGAAGAATTTTAAATCGACAAAAGCTTTGTTGCCACTTTTGTCATTGATTTCTGTGTTTGCAGGGTTGTCACTTTTCCCTTCTAGAGGGAACATCGGAATGACGCATGCTCGGGGAGATGTGTAAGTCGTTTGCTTTTATGAATGAAACGAAAGAAAATGTTGTTGGTGTGTGATTTACTACAAATTTAGGATTTGTCAATTTGGCTGCCATATTGATTTCTGCGACTATTTGAGACAATTGTTGTTTTTGTACAACAATGTTTGTATTTTGCCTATTGGCTGACGTAGTTACATTTGTACGCCTAATGGTATGTAGATTTGTGTATGCATTACTTATTTTGCGCGGTCGTACGCATATTTGTACATACATACTTACATATAAAGCAGTGCGCTCACATGTTTTCATTGATAATTGATAATATATTATTACAAGTATATTATATAATATAACATATTGATGTACATACATATGTACATACATAAATTATTAATTCTGTAACAACTGAAATTAGAAAATTATGAAAATAGTAAAATATCATTTCTTGCATAATCTTTTGCATAATCTTTCACATTTTATCAATGTAGCATTTGTGCAAAAAAATCAAATTTTATCAATTTTTCATCATAAACATCGTTTATATGGCAAAAAATAATCATGCATACATACATATGTGAAGTGGCATTTGTATTTTTTGTTTTCTCATTCATTTCACTTCATTTTTCTCATTATATTGGGAGATACGTAATTTGTCAGAGAACGTTGTTATAAAATCTCATTTCTGTTAAATAACAGCAAATATTACAGAAAATGGTGAACTCCTTGATCTCAATTTTTCAGCCAACCAATCGAGCATCATACAAAATTCAATTTGCACCTTCTCGTTGTTTTAAGTTTTCTGATTTAATCGTTCACAAGTTTTGTGCACATGCTTTTCCTTCCCAAGAAGCCGCTCATTTGTCGGAACCGTCGATATCGGACAACTATAGCATATAGGTACCATACAAACTGACGGATCAAACTCAAGTCCTTGTATGGAAAACGTTTTAATTTGACAAGTCATCTTCACGAAATTTACCTTTAGTTAGGACCACGAAGCTGCCGAAGTTAACGTTATTCTTATTTTTTTTTTTACCTTTTTTATGTAAATGTTATAAAACCAATGTAGTGCACCCATTTCTATTGATCCGAGCTGAACAGTTGCCGGTGTTCTTATTTTTATTATGGTTTCAACTTTCTAGTCAACCAGTTCCAGATCAAAAAGAACACTTAGAGTATAATAAACTTAAGTGAAGAACTCACACTGCGAATGTTAGAGCAACGCACAGCGAACCGTCAAATGCTCAACGGTTGCTAATGAAACGACAACTGCAGTTTAAGCTAATTTTAAATAAAAATAAATTAACAATTCACAATTAGCTTGCTTTTGCGTTAAAAAAACAACGTTCCGAGAGCTTAAAATTAATTATTCACAACAATACATCGCGTTAGGTACCCGTGTCATTACCATAAATTCGGCATATTGGGTATTTTATTGAAAGCTTATACCATATATTTAGGTCAAAACGTAAGATATCTTAGCATAATTTAGTGATTTTGGATATATTTTAGTTTAATGCCGATAATATGGGAAATCGGCCAACAAATTACTCCAGCTCGCATTTACTGCATATACGGATTTTCGTCATCTATTAAACTTAATTCCGAAGATCGACATAACATAGTGTATCAGTTATCTTCATAAATGTAGTCGATATATACCTTGGTATAAACCCCACAGCCTTAATATAAAGCCTTACGATCATATGATTGACCTTTACCTGATCTACCCAATATATTAAATTTAACGTCTTTGGACTGAGCTTATATCAAATATATCTCATTTAATTATTAATTAATTTGACTGATTGTAATACAAAATAAATATCGGGGAAAAGACACATACTATAGTCATGGAACTAGCACCCCTACTGAGGAGGGCTTGTGGATTATAGTTGCAGTTATCCTTACTTTGGATACTGAAACAAGAATATTATTTGCGGAAGGCTACAGAAATGCTCTGTTTGAAAGCGCAGATAACAATCATTTGTTTATATTATTGGATAACACTGTTAAAAGTATTTGCCAGCATTGCATTTTGACAGAAATCGTAAAATGAAACATAAAGAAACGGAAAACCATGGCTTCATTACAATGAAAAATTATTATGGTTAGTGTAATTGAATTAATTTTTACATCATACATACATATATCATGTAACATGTAAGGTATCTTAGCAAAATTAACTAAGCGTATAATATTGGATATGCCATAGTTTAATGCAGTTTTAATTAAAAATACTGATTTATACCTTGTTTTAAATTGTATTTAACCTATTTTGCTTTCAGTGATGGAAATATGTTAATAAAAGCAGTGTCGTTTATATCAATGGGAAAAGTACAACCATTTTTAGTTACATTTAATTCTTCGGCTTTGCTGTTGGCTGATTTCCACTGTCATTTAACCATGCGTGAAGTTTGCGGTTATTTTGGAGGTCACTGGGATATAAATACGCACAGTAAGTTTGAGTTTAAACATAAAAACAGATAAGTATTTTTTTCAAGACAACAAATCGGGACTCATAATTATTTAAGACCTTTAATGTATAGTTAACTAGCTAACTAATATAGTTTCTAGCCATGACTTCTATATCAGTATTTTGTATTGCCTGTGGGTACTGATTTTAGTATCTTTGAAAACTCGAATCGGAGTGTACATTTTTGAGAAACACTGATAAAATTATATGGCAGCATCGTTTAAATTTCCAAAAATTCGTAAAATGAGATAGAAAAATATTACATAGCGAAGTTAATATTATTTAAAGAACATAGGTACGTTTGCAACAATTATTCAAATACATTGATCATTTGGAAAATAAAAATTTATTGAATTTGACAAAACCAAAAACAAAAAATTTCAAATTTTTATTATGTCACAGCTTGTTTGATACAATGCACTGATTTCCTGATGTTGTTCTCCAACACTACCTTTAAATTCTCGATCATTTTCATATCGAATGACTGCGTCAGTGGTTCCATTAAATACGGACAATGCCATATATACCTATATATAGAGTATTACAAGCTTCTCGGCACTTTGGAGTAAGTGCTATATTATATAGTGTGCATTGAAAAATTGGTACGCTTCGATCTCCATTTTGTATTCAGTTTGCATGAACAAACCTCTCAATTATACTCTGCACATTTGCTTGACTTAAATTGCCAAATTCTCGCTGTTCATTGTTTTCGTACCGATCATTTGTGACAGAGAATCAAACCGTAAATTACATACAACCATAAATGAAAGATAGTTGCATGATTCAATCAGAGAACTTAGAAGAACTTCTTCTTTAGAAAAGTTTAAAGAAGAACTTCTTCTTATAAGTTCTCTGATTCAATCATATAAGGTTGTGTTACTTCGGAGCGTGCTTCCTCTTACGAAAAATTTGTAATTCATACAGTAAAAAAGCTTTTATTTTTGGTTTTTCTCATCAATTTCTTGTTTACATTTTTATGATTTTGTGTGATTTACAATCATTCGTATTTAGTTATCACTCAAAAACATATTTTCATTAGTTGAAATCTTTGAATTTTATATAAGAAGAAAAAAAAACAGCTGATTTTGATTGATTAAATCCTTTTTGACGAGCAAATTTCTTGTCTCACAGCTAAATTTTGTTCCTTCGTGTATGATACCGTATTTTGCTCTGCTTGCTATATTAGACGAGTATTTGCTTAAACAATCACATTAAATTATTAGTTACCAGCTTACTTTTCATATTTAGTCACAAATTTAAATTCCGAAAAGAAAACCACGGAGAAGAGAAAGAACATTGATGGAAACATTTCTTCCTAGTAGTTTGTGTTACAGTTTGAAAATGGGATAAACCACGTCTGTGCCTCTATAATACAATTAAATTCCTCACGTCCTTTCCGTTCACATTAAGCACCAATGAATACATTCATACATGTATTGGAATAAATCTTTGTTCAATTATTGACTTCAAGGTGTGGTTATCGGAGCATAACATTGTTTTTTAATAATATTCTGCTAAATATTATATTCAATATTATTATTATATTTATCTCAATAGGCGTTGAGGTTTTTTATAGTAGTATACCCAAAAATAACTATGCATTTTTAATAATATAAAATATTTATATTATATTGTCTTCAAATCCAAGTTTAAAGGACCATTTCTTTTTTTTTTTTGTAGCATTGAACATAACTAAGGCATACCCTTGTAGAAATTTTCAAAAATCAGTTCAAGAGGAACACGATATAAAAAATATGATAATGTGCGATCAACTTCTACTTGTTGGGTGGTATCATTCACATCCGAAATTTCAAGCGGAACCTTCATTACGAGATTGCGATGCCCAGTTAGACTTCCAAATTCGAATGCGCGGTTCTTCAGATACTACGTATACACCATGTGTGTCAACAATAGTTTGTAAGTATTTTTAAACAGTTATCAAAATTTAACTTTGTACAAATTTTTCTTTACATAGCTCCATATTATGATGAAAATCCAAGCTTAGAATCAGTAATTAAATCTGTATGGGTCATGCCGCCGAATGAGACCAAACAAATTTTGGAATATGGACGTCCGATGTTAATGCAATACTCAGTCATATTGGATAAGGAAACACCAGCATATGTGCATTCTCAACTGCAAGCATGTGCTACTTATTATGCAAGATCGCGAAATGAATTGATTAAATTTAACAGCATTTTTATTGAAGACGTTACATTTTTAGAAAAGTTAAAACACACATTATATTTAAAACTTCCTGCGGAACAGGATAATACTATCCTTTGGAACTTGATTTGTGAAATTTTAGGGAACGAAGACAAATTTATTCCTCCTAAAACAGTGACAGATATTGGCAAGAAGGCCAGCCAAACTTTTTCTGTAGCATTTAGTGTTGATCTACCTCAAGATGAAATTAAACAAGTTATACATGATAAAAAGTTTGTTGAAATAGAAAAACATGATCTTGATAAAAAGGGTAGCGAAATAAAAGTTATGTCACTGCAGGAGCAACTTTGTTTACCATCTGGATTAAACATGAATCCAGTTCGTACATTTGCATCTTTGGCGTCGTCTAATCAGTTAGGATCCAATAATATACCATCGCTATCGACTAAAAGTACTAACGCTTCACCTTACCAAACATCTACTAGTTCCACCGTTACAACTTTAAGTTCAGAAATACTCTCACCGTTGCCGTCAATCGGAACTTCTTTTCCAGCTGCGTCTTTTACAGAAATACATTTGCGTGACAGTCCAATCACTGTACCTTCATGCTCCGCAAGTCCAGTTAAATCGGAAATACCTCTCTTAAGCTCCCCTTCACCTACCAAATCAGAAACACCACTGTATTCTCAGCATTCTAATACTGCAACATTACATAATTCTAGAAATATATTAAACATGGCATCGAATTACGAGACACCAAATGATTTGGTCGCCGCAAGCTTAGCACAGTTGGCTGATCAGCTAGCACCTAATTTTATACAAACTGATTTGACTAACATTTTTCAACAGCAGACTGGTGATAATAATAATCGAAGCTCTACTATTCATCAAATCCTTTCTGAAAAGAGTGGAGAACAAAAAAATAATTCATGTGAAACAAGTGTAAGTGGTTACACAAATAACTTCAATGCATCGCGTTCGTTGGAAGCACATAATCAAGAAATTGCAGGCAGCACTAAAAATAAAGCGGAGCCGTCGAGACTTTCTCCACCTGTACTTTTCTCATCTAATAACACAAGTTTATATAAAACAAAGCTTATGAAAGAATTGGATAATATAAAAAATGATCCCTTAAAAATGAATGAACTTATGCGCTCTCCGGAATATGCTGCTCTCCTCTTACATCAGGCGGAAGCGCTTGGTGCAACTACACTCGGCACGCTTGGTTTAGGATCTGATTTAAATTTTTTAACAGGCACTACCCTTGGACCTAAAGCCGATCAAACGCAGACTCCCGACTATAATAATTTATCTCAAGTTTCAAAATTTCTTGGGTATGAATCTTGTATGCAATTGGCAAAAGCAGATGATTTCAGCGCTTTTATACAACAACAAATGGGCGCTGTGGCAGCTGCAGCATTGGTAAATGTGTCCCTTTCATCAAAAAAGCAAAAACAGTCAGAATCTCAAGTTCAAGCGAACTACGGTTCATTTTTACAAACATATTCAAAACTTTTTGAAAATGAAAATAATTTTCGTTGTGAGTCGGTTGAAGGAAAGTCCTTAAATAACCCACATAATGAATTATCTGCTTTGCTTTCAGTAGGAGCTGATACTGACCTGTCTTCATTTGATTCCAAACTGAAGACCAAAGATATTTCTTCACAAATCCAACAAAAGCAAAGTGAAAATCAAAATCAGACTGATAGTTCATTTCTTTATCACCAAAATAAGGCTGCTTCTCACTTGAGTTCACTATTTTCATCTTCAACACCGATAGCTAATCTATCATCTTCTAATAAATTGTGCAATAGTACAAATTCGACGAATATATCTGCCATTGCAGAGTCCCCTAACTTCTTTAATGCTTTTTCCCAGGAAAAAACGCAAGAATATCCCTTCTTTCAGCAGCAACATATTAAGCAAGACGGAAATTTTTTTCTTTCGCCCGCTGCGATGTTAAAAATTCAGAAGGATTCGCTATCTGCAATGATGATGAAACCACCTAAATCAACCTCATCAACTGCTGCGACAATATCTCGTTTACGTGAAGCTTCAACGCCTCCAGCGCTAGGTCCAACTAAAGGCAGCTCTGCCAATAGTGTGAAATATAATTATAGTGCAATAGACTTGGCAGTTTCTAGTATTCAGTCCAACACATCTGCTCCGATTCCGGTGGGAGATAGTAACAATTTGATATCACAACGAAGGCCTTCAAATACACCACCTGTTGATCTCAGCCGTCTTTATAGCGAAGGCCAACCTTCATCCGTAATTGGTTCCCTGAAAAAACGTATGGAATTCTCATCCATAGCAGAACTAGCTGCTCCCCCGCCAACAAAAATTTCAAAGGAATTAAATTAAATGAATACAGTCTTTGAACTACACTGAAATAAATATTCAGAATAATATATTTTAAACGTGAAATATATGTTATTCCCTGTTTTGAAAAAAATTTAGAATATCATCAATTTATGTATTTGGTAAAAAATAATAAATGTATTGTATTTTTTTTTTATAAATATTCTGGTTTTGTGTGCTTTGTATGTTTTTTTTTTAACTTAAGAAGTGAATGCAAAAATGTATAAACAAATAAATATACCAAAAGTAAAACGTTTTGGAAAAATAAAAATATAAATGGAACTGGCACCGATTTGAAAGTTTGTCAAATTTGGATCCAATCGATATTTTCAACAAAGGAAATGAAAAAATTCCGATTATTTTGGGGACGGGATCTGGTGGTATGGACGGCTAGAGGAAGTTCTCCAGGCTTTCGTTTTAGCTTAAATAAAAAAATATTTTTTTGGGAGCTGCTCCTTTATTGAATCCAGAATAAGAACTCAAAATTACAATAAATAATTTCTAACTCTAAACCTAAGTGTTACAACTTCAGCGATTTGGGCTATGTGCAGGTGTCATATCGTATTACTTTGTATCATATGATATTAATGCATGAGAGTATCATATCTTCAATATGTAAAGTGCTAACTAATCCTCACTGAAATGCAAACGTCCCCGTTTGAACTTATGGGTTTGTCGAAAATTTTGTTTGGAGTCCATCGATAGCTGGGTTCGATAATTTCATTTGTTGATTTTCTGTAGAGTTTTTTATAATCGGTAGAATCGGATTGTTGTCGAAATCGGAATTAAAACCGATAAAAAAAGGTAGTAGGTGTCATGAGTTCCGATATTATTGGTTTGACCAGAGAACGTATATTATAGAGAAGATTCATGCAGAGAATGTAAATGAACGAGAAGGTGCAAATTGAATTTTGTATGATGCTCGATTGGTTGGCTGAAAAATTGAGATCAAGGAGTTCACCACTTTCTGTAGTATTTGCTGCTATTTAACAGAAATGAGAATTTATAACAACGTTCTCTGACAAATTACGTATCTCCCAACATAAAGAGAAAAGTGAAATGAAATGAATGAGAAAACAAAAAATACAAATGCCACTTCACACATGCATGATTATTTTTTGCCATATAAACGATTTTTATGATGAAAAATTGATAAAATATGATTTTTTTTGCACAATTGCTACATTGATAAAATGTGAAGGATTATGCAAAAAATGATATTTTACTATTTTCATAATTTTCAAATTTGAATTGTTACAGAATTAATAATTTATGTATGTACATATGTACATCAATATGTTATATTATATAGTATAATAATATATTATCAATTATCAATAAATACATGTTAGCGCACTGCTCTATATGTAAGTATGTATGTACAGATATGCGTATGACCACGCAAAATAAGTAATGCATACACAAAACTACATACATATAAGCGCACAAATGTAGGTACGTCAGCCAATAGGCAAAATACAAACATTGTTGTACAAAAACAAAAATTGTCTCAAATAGCATCAGCACCAGAAATCAATATGGCAATCTAATTGACAAATCCTAAATTTGTAGTTGAATAGATCTATACACAGTTCAACACTAACACTCGATTCAAAATAAAACAAACGCAAGTGACTTGGTAAATCAATAATTTTAGTTTATTCCGAAACGAAATTAAATATATATAATATAATAATTGTTGGAATCGAACGTCGTGGGGGTCGTCTTGAAATGATGCGGTAGCGCGCAGGAACTGGTGTCCGAACGAATTGTTTTAGCGAAGGTATGTAAGCGAAAGATGATGTGGCACTCAGGCCCGTAGACGATAACGAATGATGATGTGAGAGCGATGATCCCGTCCCTTTTGTTAGATGTACAGGTGCCGTGTTATGGTGTGTTTTCATCGAGTGGTGAGAACCTGTGATTGTTCTCTGGTGTGGTGTGTTGCATATTACACATATGTGCTGTTGAATGTATTTCGGCGTACTGTTGATGGAGTAGCCGAGGCGCGAATATTAGCTGTAAGAAGCAATTTTGGTTTTAATCAACTTATCAAGAACAAGTGGTTTTGCTTGCGATTTGTATTGTGGTATAGACTTGAGATACGCAACTATATTCTGACAATTTTTTTGGTTTTATAGTTGGCAATACAATAAGGAGTGATTGTATTTACGATTTTTTTCTTGTATCGATTTTTTATGCCGATTGTTTATGATTTGCCCTTTCTGTATTATCAGCAATTATTTGCAATCTCTTTATTATCGGCTTATGAGGATAGCGACTCCACGCCTGGCTCAGATATGGCCAGAATGGGTGCTTCTTTCAAACTTTTGAAGAGGGATCTTGCGAGAGTGAGATTTGTGAGTTTCCCTCACTTTTTTGAACTGAGACTTACAACTTTTACAAGTGTTTCCCATAAACTACCCGTTTGATGAGCGCTTAGATAGTTGCGATAAGTGCGACCTTTGCTTTTTGTAAGTCTGGGTGCGTCACTGTATCACATTGTAAATATGGTGATCCCTTAACTTTATTTTTGAAGTTTTATACATTATGAAAATGTTGTCAACTACTACTATCAGGCACTATAGTAAGAGAGGTGTCGATTTTTGACAATCTTTGGACAATTTTGTTATATGTTATGTTAAGTGCGATTTTGGCAAGCAGTAGCGCGCCACATAACTCAAGATTTTTGAAGCAGGATTTTTGTATCATTATTGGCAGAAGCCATCCTGCGGGGTCGAAAAGTTACATATTTGTGTTTATAAACCTGATCTTGTCAGAAGGGACTCTAACTTGGTTTTTTCTGCCAATTAGTGGAGTGTTGGAACATTGGGAGTTTAGTGGTAGTCGTATGACGTACCGGCCCTTATTTGATCGAGTAGTTGTGGCTTTGTGGAAGTCTTCACAATACTGATCCTTTGGGGTTGTAATTGATATGAGGGGGCATTTTTCTAACTCCTCAAATTTCCTTAATTGTGAATTAAGGTATTCTTTTGAATTTTCGTCAACTTGAGTTGTTGATGTGGAAACTGGTTCAGTAACTAGTCCACTTAGAATCCAACCGAATATAGTATTTTGGGCTAGAAGGGTCGTTGAAATTTTTTCAACACCTTCAAGCATTATTTGCGGTATAAGGTCGCTGCCTACTATTATATCTATTTGAGCGGGGGTATTGCAGTTGGGATCTGCTAGCTTCAGGTGTGAAACCTTTTGCCAATGCGTGCTATTTGTATGATAGCTTGGAAGCATATTTGTTAGCTGCGGTAAGACTATAGCTTCTGATTTAATTCTCTTATCCGCTTGGGGGGAAATTAGGGTAATGGGGCAGATGGGGCCCATTCCCGTGATTTCAAAGTTGGCTTGTTTTGTTGGCAGTTGTAGCCTATTTTGTGCCCTAGACGCTATGAAAGATCGTTGTGATCCTTGGTCTATTAAGGCCCTAAGTTTAAACAGCTCACCTCGGTGTTCGATGGAGACGACTGCTGTGGATAATAGTACCCTACTTTGGTTTTCGCTGTGTAGCGTTTGAGTTTTTAATGCCTTTGAGCAGCATGGTGCTTCTTGGCAATTTTCTGGATTTCGCACTTCGGGATTTGTTTTTGCAACTAAACCAGTGGTTCTTTTTATACTAATATATGCACTCTTTTGGGGTGAGCTGGGAAATGTGCTGTAGTGAAGCATTGTATGATGTCATTTTCGACAGTAGATGCAATTGAATTTGCTTTTACAATTTTTATGAGTATGCGTATGTGACAAGCAATTTGTACATAATCTTTTTGTTCTTATAAAATTGTTTCTTTCGTGAATTTTTAATTTTTTAAATATCTCGCAAGATTGTAGTTTATGCCCTCTTGTGCATAGTTCGCATGACGTATGCTTATTCTGTTCGGATGTGAACGATTGCGTTTTGTAAAAGCTTCTGTTTAATTTATTTTTGCTACTAGCTTGGGGTCTATTGAAGCTTCTTTTTAGGTCGTTTTGAACAATTTTTGTTTTAATTAGTTTTTTATCTACCCTTTCAGCGATTTCGTACTGGGTAGTTAGAAAGTCTTTCATTTGTTGCCACGTGGGGCATTTCTTTCGTGATGAGAGCGATTGCTCCCATAAAAGTAACGATTTTTCTGGTAATGCGGCAGTGCATATGTTTACCAGTATCGGGTCCCAGCTGTCTGTGGGAATATTTTGTGTCGATAAAACCGACAAACAGTTTGAAACAGTGGATTGTAGTCTTATAAACTCTTCACTGGTTTCTTTTTGAATCTTAGGCAAGTTTAATAGTGTCGTTACTTGGTTATCGACCAATATTCTTTCATTTTCATATCTGGATTTTAGAGCTTTCTAAGCCAAATTAAAATTGTCGTCATTTAGTGCGAACTGTTTTACTATTGCGCCTGCTTGACCTTTAGTTTTGTATCGGAGGTGATACAATTTTTGCGCTTTTGATAATTTTGGATGGTTGATGTATACGGCAGTGAACATGTCCCGGAAGGACGGCCATTCTTCATAACCTCCATAAAATATTTCTGTGTCACATGCGGGCACCTCGAGATGGATGTCCGAACTTGCCTCTTGACTTTGAATTTGTGGCAGCTCTACTCTCGGATGTGGAGTAGGTGCAATCGCTTTTATTAGCTTTAATTGATCAGAAATCATAGCTTTTGTTTCTTCGTACTGGTCTAAGCAGTTTTCGTATAGTGCGTAAGCCGATGATTTAAAATCGTGTGGTAGATCTGAATTGTCATAATCTACTATGGCGTCATGAGCCGTTTGGAGACGAGTCCAAAAATTGTCAATATTTTGTTTTTTTATTTCCAATAACGATTCAGAGATGTCTTGAATCGGTGAAGATGAAAATCGAGTGCAGTATCGTGTTAATCTGTCACTCTCAGAAATGAATTTGGTGGCACAAATATTTTTGCCTTTTGTTTGCTTTGTGGTAACCTGTCTTGCGCGTGTAGCTTCTGCAGGTGTAATTTGAATTTTATCCACATTCATCATTTTTTTTTTGTATGTTAAAATATTTGTCAAAATTTATTAAAATTTTCTCAGTGTAAACTGTATTTGCTAGCAATATGATTTTGTTGTGGTTTTATTTTGAATGTATTGCTTTAATTTATTTAATTATTAAAAATCGCATTTTTAATTCAATAATACTTTTTATGTCCTTATATTGATGTATTTAGGTACACCCTAATAAACGGACTTGTTAGTATATATTTATGTGCTCGTAAAATTGAGAGCTCGTTGAAGAGATCAATTGGTTGTGCGTATGTATGTATACTTTCTAATGCAATTGAGAGCTCGTTGAAGAGATCAATGTGCTTTTAGTTTTTTATGTACGCAATCCTGCTTGTTTGATACAAGGGGTATTGCGGGGTGTATGCCAATGTGGACTTTGAAAATATGTACAACTATAATTGTATATTTTTTAATATGTGTATATTTAAATATTATTTTTGTTTGTGTGCAATTGAGAGCTCGTTAGAGAGATCAATGCGTTTTTGTGTGGTTCGCAATCCTGTTTGCTTGTGTTTTAACAAGAACAAGAGGTTTTGCTTGAATAGATGTACCTACATATGCGTATGTACTTTAGTTCTTGTTAAAAGAATATTTTATTACATATATATATATATATATATTTTTTTTTTTTTAAGAGTTTGTTTGTTTGCGTTTTAATAAAAAATAAAATTAAGGAAATTTTATTTCACTTTGTTTATTCATTCGCAATTTGAAAATCACTTTTTAGTGAATGTTTAAAATTTTAATAAATTAATATTACCCAATGTTGAGTATGGTATAAAAATATAGGTTGTATGCCGTATGTATGTATAAACCTGGCTTCTATATTTTGCAATAGAAACAGAGCGCGAAAAAGGAATTGATAATGTGCGGGTATTCTCCGTATGCACTTATATGTACATATGTATGTAAATTTGTAATTTTATATATAGCAAATAATTATTTTTACTATGTATAGAATGTATTTTTATGCATAATGTGTGTGCATGTATGGTTGATTTTTATTATTTTTATTTTGTCCTTATATACATATGTAAATGTGTATAAATGTATATAAATATTCTTATATCGAACAGTTTCGGGCTTTTTTCGCAAAATCACATCCGTCTCGTCAACAGACCTAAGCGAGTTGCTTCCCTTTTTTCGTTGATACGAAACCTCCTGCGCGCAACTGCATTCGATCGACACCGCTCCGGATTCTTCTGCGATACTTCAACGGTCCTGCATGACATGTTGGAAGCCGGTTGTTTCATCGCATCCCCAGTCATTTCACCCACTATCGAATCTTTACGAGCGGCTACGCTTAAATTAATTAAATAAGTATCACCTTCATTGGTTAGTTTAATACAATAAAACTTAACTCGTTTTAACCAAAGAAAAAAAATACATTTTGTTCGGGAGTTCATACGATTCAAAGTGAGGTGTTTAGAGGTCCAAATATCTCGGTGGGTTTCCCCAGTATTAGATACAAATTAGTCATTATTTATTTTTAATACAGTTTTTATAAGGATAAACTGTAGTTTTCAGTATAAATAAGTGCATATTAAATATAACAATAAGTGGAATCAATACGACTCACTTTGTAACGCCTCAAGGGTTTTTAGGGCAAATTTGATGTCTATGTTGGCGTTGTAGTTGCCAATTCTTCCTTCGCCTCCGCGAGAGTTTACTTCTTATTCCTTGTGTGTGTTATTTGTTCTTGATTTGTTGAACATATTTGTTGTATATACCTATGTATGTTTTCTGTTTAGTCGCGACCGGTTTTTATATATTATTTTGTTTTTATTATAGTTTCGCGCCCGCTTTATGGATTTGGGTTTTGTTTTACTTTTAGTGAAAATGTTCTCTCCTTTTTGTATTTTGTTTAGCCCGTTCTTATTCTATATATGTATACATACATATGTATGTATATTTGAATTTCTTTTCTTTTTTATATTTTTAATTGTATCTTTTCATTTTTATTTGTCACTACATAGCACTTTTTGTTTTTTGCACTTTTATGAAACTGCACTGTTATTATGTTTGTAAGTTAATTTGATGTTAAAACCAAAGGTGCCATTCGGTATGGCTCGAAGGACCATGAATAGATCTATACACAGTTCAACACTAACACTCGATTCAAAATAAAACAAACGCAAGTGACTTGGTAAATCAATAATTTTAGTTTATTCCGAAACGAAATTAAATATATATAATATAATAATTGTTGGAATCGAACGTCGTCTTGAAATGATGCGGTAGCGCGCAGGAACTGGTGTCCGAACGAATTGTTTTAGCGAAGGTATGAAAGCGAAAGATGATGTGGCGCTCAGGGCCGTAGACGATAACGATGATGATGATTTGAGAGCGATGATCCCGTCCCTTTTGTTAGATGTACAGGTGCCGTGTTATGGTGTGTTTTCATCGAGTGGTGAGAACCTGTGATTGTTCTCTGGTGTGGTGTGTTGCATTAGGGTGCGCCAGTTGTTACCGGAGAGAGTGGTGGTACTGAGGCTTAGCTCATTTAAACAGTAGTAAATCACACACCAACAACATTTTCATTCATGAACGCTGGCGCACAAGCAATAAGCTAAGTCGTTTCATTCATAAAAGCAAACGCCTTACACATCTCCGCGAGCATGCGTTTGCCTACAAGCGTCTTTTCGCGACGAAAAAGTGACAACTCTGCAAGCCCACAAAACACAGAAAAAAGTGGCAACAAAGCTTTTGTCGATTTAAAATATTTTACAATTCTAAAATATTTTTCCGTGACTCGCAAAAATCTGCGTCAATATGTATTCATGCTCATATATAAACATACATATTTACAATGATTTGTGGGCAAAGCTGTTAGAGCGGCAAGGGAAACGGTGACAATCGGCGAGCGTTCGTTTATTTTTCGGCACATCTCGGAGTTTCTAACAACAACACAATGTTGTGACGTTTTGTCGTCGCGTCAGTCCTTCGACAGATTGACTCTTTGACATAAAAGCAAAAAACGTGTCAACGGAGATTTCACATGAAGTAATGAGTGTACATATATACATACAAATGTGCAAACGACATAATATATGTATGTCCTGTTGTACATTTGCTTCTACGCCAGTCAAATTTCTGTAGGAAAATCAACTGAAATTAATATTGAAATAAAATAGACTTTTGAGCAAGAATATATTGTTTGGCGCAATAACTGACACTTGCTTTAATAAATACATATGTAAAATGGGCCAAAACGAAAAAGAATTACATATTTACGTACATAATTACTTTTACACATGCATTTGAAAAGAAAAATTGAAGCATAAATGTGAAATGCCGACGGCAAAACACAATTCTGTACTTTTGTGACTCCATAATGGTGTCAAGTTGTCACCGATGAGGTGGGGCGAATTTAACGCATATTTGGTTTATGGTTTATTTCTAAATACACAAGCATTTAAGTTATTGACTTACAAAGAATTATAATATATTTCACTTACCGCAGTGTGTCCTTCCACCTTCCTGGCTGGCTGATCGATGACAAAGCTCGAATATGATTTGCCAGAACTTATATGCACAAATATTGTCATTTACCGTACAGATCAGCACAGGAGAATAGGGGAACTGCACACTGCAGTTTACAAACAACAAGCATGTAGATAACTTAACATATGTAGTTTGTGCCTACCTGTTTATGCGAAGGGAGAATGGCAAACATATAAATCGCACAAACAAGGAAACAGAAACTGTATAGCGGGAAATGTATGTATGTAAATGGAATGCGAGACAATTCAAGAGCATATAAAGAAATTGGAATTGAAACATACAACTGTAAAATAAACATAGAAATTAAATATTATATTAGGGTGGGCCTGAATCTACAACATCCCCGCCCCCGTGAATCAACCTGATTCACCACCATCAACGTCCAGAACAGCAAGCTTTGAGACTGCGCGTCGTTTCACACCTCTGGAAGTTCGTATGTCTGCTCGTCGCACCTCTCCATCAAGCCCAGGGTACACTCGCTCTACCTTCCCTCGGCACCATTCTCGCCGTGGAACATTAGGGTCGCATATGAACACCAAGTCCCCTGCTTTCATTGGCTTCGTTCGTTGGCACCATTTTACTCGGCGAGTCAATGTAGGAAGATATTCAGTAATCCACCTGTTCCAAAAATGATCCCTCAATTGACGAGCGATGCGCCACTGCTTGCGTGACACACAAGTTTTTTCCAAGTCGGTGTCTACTATCGGAGTGTGTGCTACATTTGCGGCTCCCAGAATGAAATCATTAGGAGTTATCGGCTGCTCCTGGTCCGCGGTGATGGGCAAATGCGTTAGTGGCCGAGAATTAACGATGTTCTCAGCTTCAATAAGAAAACTATTCAGGGTATGCTCCCTTGGTGCAACTTCTTTCAAAGTGTGACATAAAACTCGCTTGACACACTGTACCATTCTCTCCCATGCACCACCTTCCGATGGATTAAATGGTGAATTAAATACCCACTGGATATTTTTCTGTGATAATTCACTTTGTAGACGTACGCAGTCGAATACTTCTTTGAATCGCTTGGCTTCTCGGTCAGCACCAACGAAATTCTTTCCATTGTCCGACCTAATCCTTAAGGGCGTACCTCGTCGGTTCACAAAATTACGTATAGCAATGATACAAGAGTCGGTACTCAAGTCATGAGCCAGTTCTAGGTGCACAGCTCGCACAGTAAGGCACGTAAATAGTGCCACCCATCTCTTCTCAGTGCTGCGTCGAACAGTGACAGTTAGTGGCCCAAAGTAATCGAGTCCTGTGTAGCTAAACGGTCTCACATAGGGAGTGAGTCTGTCCACAGGAAGCAGTCCCATCTTTGGAGCTACCGGGGCAGCTTTATTTAAACGGCATACACCACAACTGGCAATCACATTACGCAACAAACTTCTTAGTCGCGGCACCCAATAATTGCGACGGATATCTCCAATGGTAGCTTCTAAGTTCTGGTGGTTCATGAGGCTGTGATGATGTAACACTAACAGCCTTGTAAATGCATGATTTGGCGGAAGAATAATAGGACGCCGCGCGCTAATTGGTAGCCAGCTAGCTGCGTCAATGCGTCCCTGCACTCGGAGGACACCTTCCTCGTCTATGTATGGCGAAAGTTGTAATAACGGGCTGTTGGTGGAAATTTCCTGACCGTTTTCGATGGACTGGGTTTCTGTTGTATACACTTCACGTTGTACAAGGCGGCATAAGAGGCGTTTGGCATTCTCTACTTCTTTAGCGGTTAAACCATAGCATTGGTCTAGCTGTCCGCGGCGGCGACAATTGTTGATAAAGCGTAAAATCCAGGCAACAGCTCTTACCAATCTTTTAAATGAAGAGAAATTATTAAAGTTCAAAAAATTACGACTCACGATGACTAAAGCAAATTTAGACTGTAGTTCTTCATCAGGTTCATCATTTCCAACGGTTATGACATCTTCAGAGGGCCAAAATTGCTCATCCTGCTGTAGGAATGGGGGACCACGTGACCAACGCGTCACTGGACTAAAATTGATGCAATCATTTATACGAGTAGCTTCGTCGGCTACGTTGAGCTTTGTGGGCAGCCATCTCCAATTGGAAACGTTTGTAGTGGCCAATATCTCTGCTATTCTATGCTGTACGAAAGGCTTGTAACGACGGTGCTCACTTCGAATCCATTTGATAACCGTTTTGGAGTCACTCCACAGAATGCAGTCTGTGATGTCAAGAGAGTGTTCGTCGCGGATGCACTGCATGAGACGAGTGCCTAAAACAGCTGCCTGAAGTTCAAGCCGTGGCACGGTAAGAGTTTTCATTGGCGCGCATTTTGACTTAGAAGAAACGAATGTAACATCAATTTTACCCGATGAAGTTTGCGATCGAAGATAGGCAACAGCAGCGAAGGCATCTTCACTAGCGTCGACAAATACGTGGAGCTGAAGTATTTGAGGTATACCATTTCCAAAATAAAAACGAGGTATGGCGTATTTCACAACCTCTGGTAGTTGTTTACGCCACTTCTCCCAGACAGCGTTAATGTCGTTTGGCAACGGGTCGTTCCACTGGATGTCGTGTTTCCATAACTCACGCATAAGTAGTTTGGCGCCAATGACGAAGTTGCTCAGAAATCCTAGAGGGTCGAAAATCGACATAACAATGCTTAGGAGTTCTCTTTTAGTAGGACGTCTTTCTCCATTTACCACTGCTTCACCAACGTTATGGAATTTCAATTTAAAACCGAAACAATCTGACGATGACTGCCAAAACAAACCAAGTACCCGCTCTCCAACGAAACCTTCTTTATTATCAATTGGACGTGAGACATCAGTACCGTTGAGCGCGTCAACTACTTTCGATGCATTGGATATAAAATTGCGAAGCTCAAACCCAGCATCCATATGAATCGCTCGGACCTCTTGGGATATAGAAATGGCCTCCTCTTCCGAGCAGAAGCTATCAACGAAGTCATCGACATAGTGGTGGTCCAAAATCGCCTTAACCGCACGGGCAGTGGTTCTGCGATCATCTTGGTGCTCCAATGCGTTTACTTTTTTCACATAATCTGCGGCACATGGTGAACAGGCAGCACCAAACGTCATCACGCACATTTCGTAAACGTCCGGGGGTTGAGAGACGTCCCCACCACGCCAGAGAAACCGCTGTGCGCATCTATCGTCTTTTCGTATACGAACTTGGTGGAACATCTCCTTGATGTCTCCACATACGGCGATCGCGCCTTCACGAAAGTGGAATAATATCGACGGCAAAGGCCGATATTCTTGTGGACCCTTCAGGAGCTGTGAATTGAGGGAGATTCCACTTACCTCAGCAGCGGCGTCAAATACCATGCGTAGCTTTCCGGGTTTGTTGGGATTGGCAACGGCAAAGTGCGGCAAATACCAAGTCTTAGGAGTAGATATAGCTGCTTCTGCTGGTGACAATTTACGGGCATATTTCTTTCTGACGTAGGCGTTCATGATGTTCTTGTATTGAGTGGCGAAAATCGCATCTCGACGCATTCTTTGCTCTACGCTAACTAGACGTTTCAACGCCATGTCGTAGCTGTCAGGTAACCTTATGTTGTCAGTTCTCCATATGAGACCTGTTTCAAACCGTCCATCAACGCGGCATGTGGCGGACTTCAGGATAGCTCTGGCCCGAGTGTCCACTTCACTCTCTATAGGGGGTGCGGCTCTGACACCGAAATTTTCAGTCTTGAAGAAGTCAGCTACCATATTGTGGGGAGACTGATCAGCTTGGCGGTTCATAAACAAACACGATGCTGTAGATGGTAGCGTAGTCGAAGTTGGGCCAAACACCACCCAACCTAGTTCCGTATTGGCAATAAATGGACCATGCGTGTTTACCTTCATAGTTGTCGATGGCAATCCCAAATGGCAATGATCAAGACCAATCAAGAGTCTGGGCCTGACCTGGGCATAAGATTGTACTGGAAGCCGGCTTATATGTTTAAAGTTGTGATCCAAATCGTCCTTGCTTAAACTCTGTAGAGGAAGCTGCAAGTTTGATACAGCATACACATTGCGGAGTTTATGTTGTTTCTGCATACCGGCACCACTAATAAGCAAGTCTACCACAAACGTTGACTCCTGCGCGGCATGTCCTCCAAACCACTGAACATTCAAATGCTGCTCACATCCACGCATTCCCAAGTCTCGAACAAGAGCACTGTCTATCATTGTGATAGATGAACCTTCGTCCAGGAGTGCGTAAGTGTCCACACGCCTTTGGTTTCCGTATAGGGTGACCGGCAAAATACGGAACAGGAGCTTACTATCAGTGGAACTGCAACTTAAGACTGCTGGCCCAGCATCTTTTGATGGTTGCTGGCTGTCGAGTGTATGCTGCGTTGATGTAGGCCTACGATTTGCTTCGGTATACGCAGGAGAGAAAGGCGTGGTTGATTGACTTGACGAATTTGTAGTATTCCCCACGGCTTCATGTAGGAGCTTATGATGAACTCTCCGGCAACCTTCAATTGAACATAGCTTGCGACGTTGACAATTTCGTGTATTATGACCCAAATTGAGACAAGCAAAACACAAGCGATGTCGTTTCGCCTCTATCCATCTGTTTGGCACTGAATATTCTAGAAAACGCGCACACTCTGCTGGCTTATGATGCCCTTGACAAATTGGACATCTCACTGATCGTTGCTGCTGTACTGTGTGCAGAACCGGGCGGTACTTCCATTCCTTGGACGAACTATCAACACAAACCGTACAAATTATATTGGCTAATTTCGATAACCACTCACTGAAATGTTTCACTGTTGCATATGGCTGTATAAGCGCTGCGAAACTTGCCCACTCAACGCGTTTGCTCATAGGCAATTTTGACACAAGTTCGTCGAGTAATGTAGGGTTTGACAAATGTAATTCACCACCATGTGCAGATTGCAAAAAGACACAGATGTTACATACATTTGTTGCAAATGGTATGATTTTCGACATTGCATTCTCTGAAATAGGTGCGATTTCCTTTACGTGGGCCAGTTGGCTACGGATCAACTGCTCCGGGCGCCCAAATCTAAATTTCAACAACTCAATTATATTTCCGACATTGTTCGGGTGGATCAGCAGTGACTTGACTGCTTCACGCGCGTAACCCTTCAGGCTCTTCAATAACCGTTGGTTATTTTCGTAGTTGCTGTACTTATAAATCGCGGTTGACTCGATGAAAGCCGTATAAAATATTGGCCAATCTTCCGGCTGTCCAGAAAAGTCTGGCAAATCCTGCAATTTCCTGGGCAAACTCGATGACTGAGCGGCAGTAGAACTTATATTGGCGAATGTAGGCATTGTCGTTGAATTAGACTGGATCGAAGGTGTATCCATTCCCAAATGAGTTGTACTGTACATGTGGTTTGTAGCAGCTGTACCTATTCCAAAGTTTGGCGGAGTGTAACGGGAATCGGTAGGCTGCGACAACGGTACTGTACAGTTCACTATAGCCGGCGAATGTTGTTCCGTTAATTGAACGGTTCCCAATTGTACTGTTGTCCTCGATGTTTGCGATAATGGAACCTCGGCGGCAATATTGTTGTTGGATGTATCCAAATTAGACGCTTCACCACGCGATTGGTGCTCCCTAATATCACACAAACTACTCTCTAGCATGGCAATGCGTTTCTGTAGAGCGGCAATAAGATTTTCTTGACGTGCGAAGGCAGCTGATGATCCTCGAGTGATGGCCCCGGTGGCTGTAGGAGCGGCTGGTAAATCACTGGATACATTGGCGGCGGATGTATTACTACCCTGGCTGGGTTTTGATGATGATCTAGTGGTGGCTCCGGTGGCTGTAGGAGCGGCTGGTAAATCAGTGGCTATGTTGGCGGTGGCTGATGCATTGTTACCCTGGCTAGGTTTTGACGATGCTGCAGATGATATAGGAGCACTGCCATCCATGCCTGGCGAACTGGTTGTAGTCTGGCGGCGGGGTGACTTACGCATCGAAAATTAATTTCACAACCCAAACACGCAAACGTTTGGTCATGCGAAATAAAGAATTTGTCACCGATGAGGTGGGGCGAATTTAACGCATATTTGGTTTATGGTTTATTTCTAAATACACAAGCATTTAAGTTATTGACTTACAAAGAATTATAATATATTTCACTTACCGCAGTGTGTCCTTCCACCTTCCTGGCTGGCTGATCGATGACAAAGCTCGAATATGATTTGCCAGAACTTATATGCACAAATATTGTCATTTACCGTACAGATCAGCACAGGAGAATAGGGGAACTGCACACTGCAGTTTACAAACAACAAGCATGTAGATAACTTAACATATGTAGTTTGTGCCTACCTGTTTATGCGAAGGGAGAATGGCAAACAT